ATTCTTCCTTGCCATTTCACAGTTTATAAAGATACAGAAGTAAATTTAGGGTTTGCTTTTGTTGAGGCATAGCAGAGTTATCTCCCAATGGGTAGGAAATGGATGTTAATGATTTACTAAGCTGTGATGTTCCAAGAGGATTTGGATAGCAAAAACTACAGTGTCTGGTGGTTACTGTACAAGTATATTCCTTCTTTCCACATCCACCTGAAGTGGAGGCTTCATTTTATCTCCTGTGCAGGCTAGAGTGGTTGAATTACAAGCTCTCCCCTCCCATGCAATGCTATGCAGATTTTAATTCTTTTCAGTTAACCCCCAGAAGACCAGAAAAGCACAATTCCAGGTAGATGCGCTTCATGTGTGCACTGATTCTTTTCTGGGTGAGTCAGGTAAAGCTTCTGTCTTCTGTTAGCGTCATGGCCCATCCTTCCCGCAGGGGACAAGAAAGCATGGAACCAGGTGGTGTCCCTGAGACAAGGATGCACTGAAGAAGACCGAGGGAGAGAGGAAGCAGGACAGAGCATGTGGTCTCAGCTAGAGTCTGGCTACTGCTTTCCATACACATTTGATCTCCCTCACGCCAGTGGAGGTGGGTTTTGTTGAGCCCACTCCTCCCAGGCCAGGTAGTGTCTGTGTGGATTGTGGAGGGGACAGCTTTAGTCTCCACTGTGAAGTGGATCCTACTGGCTTAGGGACTTTCCTCCAGAAAAGGGGGCAAGTGGGGAGACCCTTACCAGCTAGCTTTCCCAGCAGCTGGGGTACAGCTGCACCCAGGTAAAGGAGTCTGGATAGAGTGCTAATAACATTTCCTTCAGCCTTTTGTCTTGGCTTTTCAATCCATGCTTCCCACTGCAGTCATTAGGGCCATCATTCTATTCAGGAAACCATCAATGACCCCTACCTGTCTAGAGAACACAATCCCAATTATCCATTTTTTTTTTTAATTTTCAATCTTTCTCTGGTCTTGCTGCTCTTTTCTCCTTTGGTAATCAATGCACCTTGGTCTTGTGCATCTTGCATGAAACCCTCCCTTCTTCTCTACCTGGCTGACTTTTTGGTCATTCCCTCCTTCCTCTTTCTTCTTCATGCCTTCAAGTTCACCAACAAAACTGTGATTGAGTCCCCATGCTGACACATTCACACGTGAATTCATTATCTGAATAGATTATTTAACCTCTTCCATTCTCAGTCTCTTTGCCTATGGAAGGAGCTGTTCAGCTGATAAATTCAAATTCGAATTGCATTATGTCTTAAAGCTCTAGGAAATCCTCCCCCACAAACCCACTTATGAAGAGGCTGCTTACAGAGTCCCTGAGCTCCTTTATTCTGTGAACTTCCTCAACATTTATTGTGTTGGTGGTTTGGCATTTATCATAACCGCACTTGAATTTTGAAACATTGTTACTTCGGGCACACCATCTTCTTCACTACACCCTAAGCTTTCCAAAGGCAGCCACTATCACTTAACCAGCCCGCATCATGGCTAATACGAGAGGTCTTCCATGGAGTTTGGAAAACTAATATGCCTTTTTTTTAAAAAATAAAAAAGCACATATAATTGTATGTTAAGAAGGTAAATTTGAAGCTTGTTATGATTTTAGAGTTGAAAAATCCACCTAAGTTTAGGTTCACAGTTAAAACAGAAATTTGGAATATAGTGATATACAATGAACAGTGATCCAAAACTCTCTGGGAAAGAGAACTCTGTTATAAAGTGAAGGACCTCTAATCCAAGCGCACAGGCAACAAATGATTCTGTTTACCAGTATACTAGACAAGACATTGAGATTCCAAAATATAGTTACGCTCCAATTAGTTATTTGCTTTTTTTGGTACTTATCAAGTAAGAACCACATAAAATATTCTTTAAAAATATTTTCAACTTCCTTAAACATTTGGATTTTGTATTATGTACTCTTTTTCAAGACTGGAATATTTAGTTAGGATATCTGACTGGAACTGTATATCAAAATACTCAGAATCAGTAGGTTCACAACAAAAGGTAGTGCTACTGGGAGTTATTTATTATGTTCCTAGTTGATGGAGTTTATTTTTTAAGTATATCCCATCATGCCCTAAGGGTATTTATAGACCAAACTTCTTAGCAAGTCTGGCTTTCATGATTTCACTCTATGTGCTAGGCTTCTACAAGTGGCTATTGAATACCAGCCAGGATGATTCACTTTTTATCATGAGATGGAAAGCTCCTTTTAATATGGTTCTATCTTGAGGTATCTGCTTTCTGCTACTGGTTAAATACCAGTGACACATAAGGTAGTAAGGATGCTTTGAATGCTTTAAGATGAATAGTTCAAGACTTTTAAAAAGCCTGAAACTCTGGGTTGTAATGAAAAAAATTCAAGTGGACCATTTCACAATAAACTGACATTACTTATTTTTCTCCACTACCTTCCACCTACTATCCTATATACAGAGATGGGCAGGAAAAAAATTGTAAAAGACCTAGAGGAATACCTAATTACCCTCATGATTTCTGCTATAGTTAGCATTTATCTCCTTTTAAAATAACTGATGATTTATGTGTTTTTCTCAGCTGAAACTTAGGAGATGAGAAAAGATAGGATATTTGGAATGTCATATACAGGGAAGCATTGCTGTCAAACATATTATTGAGGCTGGAAAAAATGAAATTGAAACAAAGAACACCTGCTACTTTAACTCATTAAAAAAAAAAACCCATAATGTTCTTTACTTGCTGACTGGAAATATTGTATTTTCAGAGAAGAGAACGTGCTAATCTAAATGGGAGAAAATATAATGATTCACTATGCAATGATAGGAAATAAAAAATATTTTAAATTGGATATTTGAGTTTGTGGAGGGGTAGGTGCTTTGTATAAAAATGATTTTGTTCATCGGTTGGTGAGTATTTCTTGCAAATTGCAGCAAAGAGTAAAATCGGCTTGTCACTAAAGATTTTTTTTATTGACATCTTTAGCTTGTCTTCATGCCAGTAATTAAATTGCTAATTATGTGTTTCTGTTACTGTGGTCATGCTTTTATTACATAATTGCTTCAAGTTTAGCTCAAATCACTAACAATATTTATTTAACCTTTTTGTGCATTAGATAAATTTTAATATATAAAAGCTTTGGAATGAGTTCCTTGACTCTGTTTTGATTAGCAAAATCAAAGGAATTCTAACCTTCCTTATAGTTACATGGGTTGTTGCTCATGTTTTCAATGAGATTACTGATAATTATTAATTTGAGCAATAGCAATCATTGAAAGACCAGTTGAAACAGAAGGGAAAAATACAAAGGAAACCTATCAAAAACCTTAGTGTCAATTCCAGAAAAATTAAATGATCTTGCTTGAGGTAACTTGAAATATAAAATTAAGAATTCGGGTCTTAATATATGTCCAAATTTAAAAAGTATATATTTGATTGTTGTGAGTAATTCAGTTACCAAGCTTCCCCCTCCCCTTTGAATGTGGGCATAATTTTTGTCACTGTTTCAATATATTCATGATTTTTTTCTCATTTGTTTATTTTATGCAAACCATAAGAGACGTTTTTCTCAGCGAAGATTGCCTCTTTATTTTATTTTGAAATATTTGTATATTTATTTCATTAAATGAGATAATGCTTTTTCTTATTAACATAATTTCCAGTACATTAAACATATTTCTCCACAGACAGAAGAGAGGAATCAAATTAAATGACAGCTAAATCACTTGCAGCAATTTCAACTGTTAAAAGAAATAAGTGTCTCTGTTTTCTTTGTGATCACAAGATGTGCTGTAAAGGGAAATGAAATACTAAAGAAAGAAGGGAAAACATAAAGAAATAATGACTGACTTATTGCAGTAATACCATTGAGAGAAGAAAAATTCACTACAAATAAAAGGAAAATAATATAGTGGGTTTGAAAGTTACCAAAATTCATTTCTTATTGATGAGTTCAGTGGAAGCCTAATACTAAGTAAACTGATGAAAAAAATCAATGCAATAAACTATGAATGATGAAAGTTGAAATAAATACTTTGCGTATGACGGACCATTATTCTAAATGTCTTTAATTTTTTAATAATTCATGTCTTTATGTTTATAAAAAAAGGAGGAATTATTGCTTAGTGGACTCAAAATGCATGTAAAAAACATCTACTTGAATCCCACATTTAGTAATAAGTCCAAATGATATTGGCGACCTTCTGATTTTTAGTATCATGTCCTGATTTTGACATAAATGCATCAAGGGGAGGTGAGCTTGATTTTAAAAATGTTGTTGGCAAAGGATGCTGGTACATTTATACAGCATACTTAACTCTATGGGGGACAAACTGATTTCCAATTTTTTGTACCACATAAAAAGGAAAATTCAGAATATGTATTGTATGTACGCGTGCTTATAGTATGCTTGTGACTATTCTGGGGGACCAGGAGGGAACGTGATGACACTTCTTGGTAAAATCAACACTGCACTTTTCATGTGTGTGTGCATGCACGTATAATTTTTTTACACAGGTCAGGTTATTAATATATTCAGATCAGATCATATTGGTTACCTAAGTCTGAATATTTGCAGGTGGACTCATGCACTAATTTTCTCTATCCATATTAAATGATATATAGTTTTAAAATGGAAACTAGTTAATTTAATCAATTCAATCAGAAGCAGTCAATTTGTTAGAGGCGGGAGATCATTCCAGCTATTTTTTTCTGAATTGACTCTGACTGAATTAACCTTCTAATACAACTGATCCTATAGCACTCTCTTCTCAAATGCCATTTTATTCTTTCCCTTTTCCCCAGTCCATCTGCACCCTCAGCATTCTCTCCCCGACCCCACCCCTTAGGCTCTCTCCTAGGTGCTTCTAAACTTTTGACTTCCTTACTTCTTTGACCTACACCTAAGGAAGCTTTCCACTAGCCTTTCTTTCCAGTAATCATCCTTCTCTCACCACACATATTTGCCTTACTGGGAGGAAAAATTCTAAAGATTTTTTTTTTTGTTGTTGTTGTTTTTGAATTACAGACACTGAAGACTGTTGCCTTGCTGAAAACCTCTGACTGATGCTGTAGAACAGGACGCTTAAGGTAATAATGGTGAATTTTTTTCCCCACTTCTAGAAACCTTTTCTTCCCAAATGTTTACAGTTCTCTACTTGGAATAAACTTTCAGATCCGCTCTAAGACTGATTTCTCCACAGTATGGAAACTTTGCAAGGGTATATGGGAGCCACAAGGCAAGAAGATTTCTGGAAGATTGGGAGGACTGGATTTGGGGGTCAATGACTATGTTCAGGAATCCTTTTGTGTGCTCACTTTGGAAAAACTTATCTTTCATTCAGGATGCAGGGGATCGGGCAAAAGTACAGGCCACATGCAAGAGATTTTGAATTATGCATTAAGCTGATAATGCTCCAGAATGCAAGCTTGAGTCAGTAAATAACTAGGCTGGTTGGTGGAGGGTGTTCACCTTACTGGAGCAGGGGGTACCACACAGGGAGAGAGCTAGAAGAAGGCTAGGGGAAGGGTGAAAGGGGGTTGCAGCCTTTTGGCTTGCTCTGATGAAAAAGCAGGAAGAGTAAGTTAATATTGAAACTATTGTCTAGTGCCTATTTGCTTTTAAATTGATTTAGCCAAGGCAACAAGACTATCTCCCCTGCCCTGTCTGTGCAAGTTTGCACTTGAGGTGGAGGGAGCTCTTCGGTGGAATCTTATGTAAAGAAATTCTGTCCAGGAGAGAAATTGGTTTGAATCTTTTGATGGGTCCATAAAGGGACTCTTTAAAAAGCAAGATTTTTTAAATGATGAAATTTGGCAACATTTGTAAGAGGACATTTAAGGTTTTGTTTGACCAGGTTTGCTTTCCTAATTAATATGTAGTAGAAAAACAGTAAAGTTAAGCCAGTGGAAGAAGCAGAAGGATTAAAAGAATGTTATAAATTTTCTCCCCACCACATGACACAGCACTACCCAGTGCTGATGAGAACTGATTCTTTAATCTTTGCATTGCTACTTCTGATTTAGTAAAAAGCATCAGTGAATGTGACCATCTTTCATAAGAAATGAACATGTACAGGCAGGCACACACGTGTGCACACATATACGTGATATTAAAAAAAAAACTCAGTTATATCCTCCAAGGAAATACAAAATATCTGAGGCTGAGGAACCTAGAACGTGGAAAGCTGAACATTTGCCTACTTACCCCCCCAAAAAAAACCCCAGATGTTCCATGAGCATTTCATTGCTTTTCTAATTTTAGACAGAACTTTTAGCCTCTGGTTGCACATTGTTTTTGCATAGTCTCTGCAGCAGGGAAAGAAGGCGTTTGTGAAGCCAGTTCTATGTGCACACACACATGTATACAGCAACAGATTAAAAATGGGTCTGGAAAAACACCCTTCTCCTTGGAGAGTCATATCAAGCAGTGTTTAAATTAAATAATTTGCAGATTGGAGGGAATAAAGCTTTTGTAGCAGTATCTGGAGGTTATCTTCCCATGGGAAATTCTTGCCATTTAGTACAATCTGGTGCATGCCAATGAGACACATGCCTACATACACACATTAGTAGATGGATTTTATTTCACCGTTAAATTATATTTATTTCTTTGGGTTACCTGTCATTTTGTGTTCAGGTAGAGGAGAAAAAAAAAGAGGCAAACTTCCTGGGAAAGGTTGAGGCCATTAAGATCCAAACAAAAGCAAGGAGAGGTAGTTAGTGATCAGGCATGAGAGAAGGCTGGCTTCTAGCATGCAGTTGGTTGTCCCATAGCTCCTCCAGGGACATGGCTGGGATTGGGAGAATGTGTAAGCTCAGGCCATTGTTTGATTTTGCTCCCAGCCCATTGACTGATGGTGACAGAGAAGCCTTGCTATGATGAGGTAATGTGAGTGGGTAAGCCACAAGTAGCTGAAATTGGTTGAGTTCTTGCTACTTTCTCTGCACAAGCATTATCTATTCTGCATGGATATTAAGTAGAGGTTTTCCAGTGAACATCATGTCTCATTGCTATGAACTCATTCCTTGATAGCCATGTCTCCTTAGTCTGATCAGCTCACCTGTGCCCTGGTGGAGAGAACAGGGTAATGAATGAAATGTTAACTAGGAGAGAGGATGGCAGGGGCTGGAGGAGGATGGGAGGTAGAGGATATCTACCCATGTACAAAAAATGCTAAAAGGTCCTGGTTTTGACAATTGGCAAGACTCAAGTGAGAATAGTTATTAAATCAATTATTAAATGTGATTATAGTCAGAAGTACTACAGTTTAGGACTTAAACATGAATTTTGGAGGGTGTACACAATTCATCCCATGGCAAATGGACTTCAAAATGTTCGGTAGAATGATAAATTTTTTCACACGTTTTTTTCTGACTCATTTAGACATTTAGTCTCTCAATTATATTTCAGTATTATATTTTGTCCCTCATTCTCTGCTACATTTTTACTAATAACTGAACATAATGTATCACAATTATTGTAGGGGATTGGGTTTTATTATCTTAAGAAGTAGGATTGGAGAGAGAAAAGCTTATTTAAAAAATAAGTAAGTCTTAACCTGAGTATTTTTAAAAAGGAAGTCATCTCCCCCCACCACCACACTTTTGGCACAGTTTATCATAAGGGTTGAAAGAATAGGTTTGTTTCAGCTCCGCCATATTCAGACTGACCACAGCAAATGATGTAGCCACAGTCTGACTCTGCCTCTGTAGATTATAGATCTATATCGCCCAATGGAGGATTGAGGTAATACCTGTCAAATGTTTTAAATGGTGCCTGGCTCATGTTTAGTGATCAGTAAATATTATGTATCTAATATCCATAATAACCATAGATACTCATGGAATGTTACATTGTCCTGGTGCTGGACAAAATATAATACTGAATTTCATTTGTTAACAGACTTATTTCCTGCCTTTTGAGGTGGAGTTAGGAGCAGTTTTTTTAAATTATTATTTTTTTTTAAGTGGACCTTGATAGAGACTTGATCTCATACAGGTTTTAATGTCCTCTCCTGACTTCCTCCACCCACAGATCCATGCTCAAAAAGTAGAGTGAAGGGAAAGTTAAGAAGAGTAGCTGAGTTCTTCTGATAGATAGATTATGGTCTCTTAGGAACCTAGTTTCCACCCCCCCTTCAGTGATGACTCTTACCTTGTGCATCAAGAGGTGCACAGACCTAGTTGTGTCCTGTGGTCTTGCCAGTCACTGGCTCCTCCTGTGTCCACTGGAGATAGTTTCAGTCTCCTAGTCTGAGAGGTCCCAACACATCAAGCGCTACTGGAAATTCAGGACTGGGCTACTAGATCAGGGTTACCCACAAAGCCTGTCAAAATGTGTAAAGATACAAAGACAGACCCATTGTTTGATTAGGCAAAGTGTTGACAGCACTCCTAGATATGCTGTATATACAAGTAATCACCATGTACCAGCAACATGTTTCTTAAGTCTCTCAAGACTTAACTACTTTAGGAATAGGCTAGTGACCAAGAAAACAAAAGTATTATTTTTAAAATGACATTTCCTCATGGAACTTTTGACCTCATAAAATCCCGTGAAAATGTACACCAAGACCTTGCCCTTTGATTTTTCAAAGGTTGGAGAAGTAGCAATACACTTTGAAATGAATATTAAGAAAAGGTACTTGAGCTATGTGAAAAATAATAGTACTAACAGCTGATGTGTATTAGGCATTTTACTTGTGGGACACACCATGGTAGACTATTTGTGGTTCTCATCTAATTCAATCCTCTCTCTAAATCTATGCGACAGTCACATCATGGGATGAACAGTGAAGAAAAAGGATTTCCAGGATTCAAATCAAAGTATTTGGGTTCCATTGCAGTCTACGGCAGTGATGATGGAATATTTGAATGACAATGAGAATTACCTAAAACAGTTTTAAAAAACTGACATATTTCATAGTGTATCTCTATTCCAGATGTATTCAAAATCTAAACCTTAAAAAACATAAAATGGTGAGAATATAACATAGGAAATAACTTATTTTTGCAATTGTCAGTTTGGAAAGACCTTTTTAAGGGCACAAAGACTTGTAGGACATGCACACTGTATATAAACTTAAAAATGAAGTAGGAAATAAATAAATCACACAACAGAAAAATGGAAGTAGGGTATGATTGGGCAATTCATGGCTAATAGACATGAAATAAAACTAAAAATGAAAATTTAAAGTGTCCCATTTCTTACATATATGATTGTAAACTTTAAATTATGAAAAAATAGCTAGACTTGGTGGCACATACCTGTAATACCAGGAATTTGGGAGGTTGAGGCAGGAGGATCACAAGTTCAAAGCCAGCCTCAGCAATTTAGCACGGCCCTGAGTGACTTAGTGAGACCCTGTCTCAAAATTAAAAAATGAAAAGGGCTGGGGATGTGGCTCAGTGGTTAAGAGCTCCTGGATTCAATTCCTGGAACAACAACAACAACAAAAGACAACCAATATTTAGCTTTGGTGAGTTGTGTAGAAATGGTCCTTGTTGTATGTACTTCTGTAGGTGAGAGTGGAAAATGACATAGGATTTTGGAAGGGCAACTTTTCAGTACCTTCAAAAATTTTATATGTATAGATCTTTGATACAGAAATTCCATTTCTAGACCTTTATATTGTGAAACCACTTGCATGTAACTGGAGGTAAAGTATAAGGATGTCCATAAAATACTGAATTTTCGTTTTTGTTTTTATAATAGTAAAAGCAAGAAAAAGGCTAAAATAATTTGATTATTTATGGTATGAAATACTATATGGCCATCAAAAATAATAAGGAAATAGCTTTAGATGGATCTAGGTATCAAACAATATTGTATGAAGTGAAAAAGTAAAACAAAAAAATTATGACTAGCTGTGTGTAGTCTAATTTTGATATGTAAAACATACAAATTAATTAAAAATAAACACATAGAGGAACTAAAAGGATATATAAAGGGCTATATCTACAATAAGTTATTAGCTCTGTGAAGGACTGAGAATATGTATGTCAAGAGAATTTTTTCATGTTTTAAACTTGTATTGATATCTAAGGTGTTGGTTTTTAGTCTTAGGTATATATCAAATTTTCATTAAAAATTTTTAATTTGACCCCTCCCAAGTTACTAAAAATATTATTGATTTGAGAAATGTTACATAAACAGATGGATCACAGATGGTGGTTTATAGGTGATAGATTTTCTTTTAGCTTTTTCATATTTTAATTGCCAAATATTCTATAGTGTGTGCCCATTGCTCAACTCAGATGTAGTGAATAAAATTCCCAAGGATTGGGCCCCAAGGTTCTGCTCTGTAAAATGTTCCTGAGGTAGGCTCGCAGTTAGCTAGCTTTCAGAACTGCAAAGCAGACACAGCTTCATAGGAGTTCAAGGCAACATGGACCTTTGCATTTGAAGGTGCCTAGGAAGAGTGATTTCAGTTAGACTGTGCCTGAAGGTGAATTTTAGAGCACACAATTGTTGTATGAAAACTGATTCAGTGTTCTTTTTTGATTTCCAGATTGTGTCTGCTGTGGGATGCTATTTCTCTGGTAAGTTTTCCACACTTGTGGGATCTCCTATACCTCATGCTGCTATTTATATTCACTGTGTCTGGTTTGTGCTTTAATCCCAAACTCCATGCATTTAATCGTTTACAGAATAACCAGTGGGATGGTGCTTAGCAAAGACCCAAAGCTGATTCTCCATCTCTCCTTGCACCTCTCCTTATTTTCCTTTTGTTAGGAACATGCCACAGAGCTTTCAGGTTATGAGCTCTTAGAAAAAGAGACATGATTGCTTTTCATATATGGTGCCTTCTTTTCCTGTATCTATCAGTGGAAAGGAAGGGCCAGATGTGTGTGTTTTTAAAAAAGAACCTTGAATTAATCTGCATAACTTTGAACAATCATGTCTGCTTGCTTCATGTCTTTCTGACACGCCAGTATGCACACCAAATGCTTGTCCACTTAACAATGAAACACTTATTTTTGCATTTCCAGATCTATTGATATTTGCTCAGAATGCAGTTTCCCCTTGTAAGAGCTGTGGAATGGAATTCATGTCTCTTTTCTGCTCAATAGTTATGTATTATCCTGTTTTGCCTTCTGCCCCTTATGTATTTTGTTTTGAGGTCAGATTGGGGGTGGGGGTTGAACCATTATATCTTCTGATGGCTACAAAAGCTATACTCTTTGCAGGAAAATATAAAATATATATTTGTGGTTTGTCTGTATCTTGAGGATCTTCCTGACATTCCATATTTTGGAAGCTCAATGAAGCTAAAGTTCCTAGCCCTTACATTATAACATATACTCCTGGTTAAGTTTCTCTTTTTTCAAAAGTAGCTATAAGAATGGGAATTGTTATAAAGTGAGCAAAAGCTCTTTGATAATTAGGATTCATCTACAACTAGAGCATTTTATTAATTACACATTGTAATCACATGGATAGTCACAAAACCAATCGTGCAAGTCTGTATTTAGAGATTTGTAGACAGAAGACTTAACGTAAACATAGAAATGTTAAACCTACTCAACTGTGACCTGCAAAGAAGATAACAAGAAGGATTCTGTTCTCTGTATGATTTGTGAACAATGCTAAGTAAATATTCATCATTAATATATAATAACTGTTGCTTTTGGCAGTTCACTTTTCATTTAATTTGATAATGTGTCCAGTAAATGAAGTGGTACAGGCTACAGTGTTTTACCAACACAATTGCATATTTTCAATCATTGTTAAATGAAGGCAGCTCAAGGCAAAGCTTTAACCCCCACTAGTTTTTTGTGTGATAAAAAGAGAAGGCGCTATCAATCTTTATTGTCTGTCTCGCTTACTGTAATTGCATTCAATAGTCCACTGATTCTGTTGTCTGTGCTAATGTCAGGAACAGAGGAGAGCCAGATGCTCAGACTTGATCATATGCATCCAGTGGCCACTTTGATAAGTTGGCAGCAAGTCACTGGGTTTGATGATAAATTGTTAACGCTATAGATTATGAACAGCTGAACACTGCAAGTGTACATGGAGGAAACTTCTTACCTTGTTTTAAATCTGGCATCATGATGCTAGCTAAAGGGCATGTCATGTATTATTCAAATGCATCTTGCACTGGAGATGTGCCAATGACTCATTGTATCCCTATGAATACTAAAAGCAACAACAACAAAAACCCACAGTGATTTGAACATGACATTAATGGTCCCAGGATTATGAAAAGCATTTTGAAATACTGTTTAATAGTTTTGATTATCTAATTCAACCAGAAGAAAGCTTCTGAGTTGTATTCACATTTAATCCACATTAAATCATGCTCTTCCTGGTCATTTCTGTTAAATTAGTCGATAATGAGGATGTTTTCTAAAAACAAACTGGTTTTTCATTAGTTAAAACCCGTGGCTGCTTTCTTGTGAAGGGACATGAATTGGAGCTGGGGCCCAAGCCATTTGTTGAAATTTTTGCCAAGATTTTGTTTCCTAAGGTTGCTGCTGCTTCTGAGAGGGATGTGGGATAGGCTATCTGTATGGAGTATACAATAGATCTTACTTCTACTGAGCCCTGTGACAGTTATAGAAGTTCAGAGTTGTGGTTCTTAAGTTATTGGACATCTATTAAAGTTGCTTTAAGAAGCTGAGATAACCATGAACTGTATAGCCATCTTGTTTTAGAGCATGCTGAGCCGTTGATCCCATTTTCAATGGAGAATTCCAAGCGAAGTTCATTGAAGACCATTTCCTTATCACTGGAGAACTTAGTCTTGAAATGTCTGATCATTACATAGTTTGGTTAGGGTGAAATAAACACATATAAGAAATACTGTTGTATTTATGGATTGGGACTAAAAAAGTTCTCTTGCCCAACTGGATTTTTTTTTATTAGTTAGTGAAAATTTTGTAATGCATTGTGTATTACCCTTTGCCTGTACTACTAGGGGATTCACAACCACCAGTCACTTTTGTAGCTGAGTTTTCAACTATGATTATTTCTTTTCCCATTTCTCCTTCATTTTTTTCTTGTTCTTTTATCTTGCTTTTTACATCTCTCTCTTATTGGCAGGATGGGTACATAAGGAACTGGCCAGTAGAGAAAGGAAGGGAAGAAAAATTTTACATGAAGTATTAAAGGCAGAACCCAAGGAAGGTTTAACTGTGTCACTAAGATAAAGGGCAAAGTCTGGTTCTGACCTGAGAGCGATTCTTACTAACATTGGGAAAATCATGAACACTGTAATTAGGGCCTTTCCTCATTTAAAAAAAAAATGAAGTGGGTCTAATAAAATTGTTGAATTCATAAGACTTTGGTAAGGATTAAATGAATTTGTCTAAAGTAAGCATTTAATAAAGTTGGCAGCTGTGATGGTGAAAACATTTTATGTGAGCTCTGGAATGTAAAGGTAGCATAATTCTTGACCCAAATGTTCGAGTTTACTTCTGAGGGCATCTGAAATTAAACCTAACTCTTAAAATAATCTCACCATGATTTGGTACATCACAACCTAAATCCTACTTTAAAACATGCTGATGTGTGGGAGTCTTTGTTTCCTATTTGATTATTTGAGGTGAACTCTGTACTTTGCAAAAGGTTTTTAACTTTACAAAGTTCATCACTTTCGCAGTCTTTGAGGTATGCGATTTTTCTGTAAGAATGAATCATTAAACATTTAAATGAATACAAGATTTGCAAGAGTCCAGTGTTGGCCTAAAGTAAGATGAGGCTTCGTCAATTCAACCCATGAAAGACTTCAGCCCAGGTGGGCAGGCCCTCCTCTGGGTTTGTGATATCATTGCTAATCTTTTGCTGACTGTTCCACGCCTGCTTTCCTCAGACTCCACAGCTTCTCCTTTCCAGTTAGTCCCTGATTGGTTTCTACATTAGAGTGCCCAGGGCTTAGCTTGGGGTTCCTTGGGCTTGTTTACTTACCCTCTTTCACTTGGTGACTTCATCGGGTCCCAAGGCTTTAAATGCCATCTGTAGACTGGTGGCTGCCAAACCTCTGTCTCCAATGGGACCCCTCTCCTGCAACTACAGATTCCCACCTCCAACTGCCTATCTTACCTGAGGTGCATAATCAACATCTGAAACTTAACTTGGTTCCTAGTGCCCCTCTCCTTCCCCACTCATCCACATTTTGTTAAGTATTGCCACCACATAAACTTGCTCTCCCCGAAAACTTGGTTGTCATCCTTGATTCCTCTCTTTTCTCACCCACCACATGTATCCATTGGAAAGTCCAGCTGAGTATCTCTCTTGAATGTATTTCAGTTTGTCTGCTTCTTTCTCCATTGTAGCCTCTGTGCCTAAGCCACCCACCACTCTTGCTTGTAGCACTGCAAAGAGCCTTCTGCTGCTTCTTCTCTTGTTTTGCTTACAACCCATGCCCCATACAACACCAAAAGGGGAATATTAGAAAAACACAAATGGCTTCCATCATAATTAGGATAAACACCAGAGTTTTCATCATGTACGATGAGGTCTTACTATTCCAAAATCTTCTCTTAGGTACCCTCGATCCTGTATTGCAGACACGCAGGTTGCTCTCACCCAGGGCTTTGCATAGATACATTGCCTACTTGGAACCCTCTTTCCCTAGGTTTTTACAGGACTGGCTGCTGCTTGTCATTTAGATCCCTGAAATGCCTTCTCACAGAGGTTTTCCCTAGGTCGACCTCACCTCGGTTTCTCCTATCCCTGCACTGTGTTTTCCTCAAAGCTTATTGCTGTCTGATTACCTTCTTCATTATTTGTTTATTTTCAGCATTCCATTATTAACCTGTGAGCTTCCTGAGGACAGAAATATTCTGATCTGGTTTACTACCCCTGAGCACTGTGTTCTGCATATTGGCTAAGACTAGGCTAGACTGGGATCATGTTCACTAGTGAATGCTCCCACCGCTACCTACTGCTTTGGCATTTCTCCCTAGTTGCTTTGCTCTTGTGTGGCTCAGTTTTCCTGTGTGAGAGCGGAGATTACATTAGTGTCTGCTTGCACCTTTGTGAGGAATAAAAGATATGAAACCTGGCAACTATGTGTGATAAGTCTGGCCTGCAATAGACTTAAGTGTTTTTCTCCTCTTTTAGAATTCTTCTATATAATAGATATTCAATGAAAAGATACAAAATATTTTCACACCTTGATGAACATTTTTGAATTTTATCTAATATTGATTTACCAAAAGATCTTCTAATGAACTTGTTCTTCTCAGAAGCATGATTAAATTATTTATAGTGTTCAACACCATGACCTATTGACGGTCATGTTATTTAAATGTGTAAGTTGACATATTAAATCTTCAGACATTAGTCAATTTTTTTTCTAAATTGTCTCACTCATCATGAATAGTGAAATTACTTGGTAGTTTTCCTATATAATTTTGAAGGTTGACAACTACTTTCTTAGGTATGGTGGTATTTGGAAAAGGAAAAATATGGTTGAGCAAAATGAAAAAAAAAACTAATCTGTAATTTCTAATATTTTTCTGTATGTTTGTACTTCCAGGCTTCTCTTCATACTATAATGCATATTTTAATATCAACTTTCTATGTTGATACC